AGCAAATGTTTTGAGAATGATGATGGCAACAAATGTACAAATGTGCTTGACACAGTAGATGGATGCATGGATTGTGATAAGAGTGTTATGAGCCCCCAATAAAATGGTTTTTTAAAAAAAGAAAAGATGGTTAAGGATAAATCATACAGCTGATGATGCTCCGATAAAATCAAAGAGTAAAGTTTTCCACAAATGAGAAGAAAAAAAATCAAAGTACTGCAAGTGAGGACGCCAATTAAGAAGCAATAAGAAAAGAGAGAAGCTGATACCAAGGACTCAGATAGAAAGTAAATGTTTAGAAAATAATGATGGTATAAATGATTTTTTTTTAAGTATACAAAGCAAAACATTAAAAAAAAATTATCAAGGGGACATGGAGGAGGGAGGGGAAAATGAGGCGCTGTTACCAGGGCTCAAGTAGAACAAAAATGTTGTGGGAAAGATGATGACAACATATGTACAGATGTGTTTGACACAATGGATGGACGGATGGATTGTGATAAAAAGCTGTATAAGCCCCCAATAACCTAAAAAACTAAAATTAAAAAAATGAAGAAAGTGTTCTAAAACTGATTGTGGTGATGATTGTACAACTCTTCTTGATGTGAGTGTACTGTTGAATTGTGTGGTAGGTGAATTATATGCCAATAAAACTGTTAAAAAAAAGAAATATACAAAATAATGATGGCAACATATATACAGATATGCTTGATACAATTGTTGTATGGTTCTTATTTAAATATTAACTATAGGAAATAATAAACTATCTCTTTTTAATACTTACAGTCATCAATTAGGGCAGTGAGCTGGCTGATAAATTATTTGAATCCCACCACTGAGGAGAATTGAACAGACTAAGAGCCACTGAACTGTATATATACTTTAAATGTGTGCATGAGAATTACATGCTGATAAAGCTGTTAAAAAACAAACAAACAAACAAACAAACATGGAAATGAAATCTACCACAGCTAAACCCTTCAGCATGCATTCATTGACAGCAGCATTCAACCATTTAAACTCGAAACAATAAACCTCACTGCCATCGGGTCTATTTCCACTCTTGACCACCCTATAGTAAGGTGACCAGACGCCCCGCTTTTGGCAGGACAGTGCTGATTTTGTACAATTTTTCCTGCGTCCCGCGGCATTTTTAAAAAGTCCTGATTTTTGGAAAGAATGCACGACCAGCTAGGGTAGACGGTTTTCGGCTGCCATGTGGCTCTATCGCCAGGACATAGGTTTTATCAATGGTGTCCCGCTTTTGTCCCGCTTTACCAATGTTAAAAATCTGGTCACCTTACATAGGATGGAGTAGAACTGCCCCTGGGGGTTTCTGATCCCTCTCAATCCAAGAAATAACTTTGTTAGCTAAACCCACTGCCACGGAGGCGGGCCCTAGCTCATGGGGATCAGTGGGACTGAGCAGAATTGCTTCCTGCACTTTCTGAGAGACAGACAGCCTCATCTAGCTCAGGAGGGCTTTGAACAGCTGACCTTGAGTTTAGCAACCCAATGCTTAACCACAACCCTGATGGAATACTTATTGTGTACAATGTATTCCTTTTCTTTTTTTAATTTAATCAGTTTCCAGGAAAGGTCTTCAAGAGAATGTGTGTAACCACTGGAGCTAAACCCTCTGGCCTCCTGCCCTCCCACTCAGGCCTACCCACGAACCTCCTCATTTAGCTCAACCCGCTAACCTGGAGGCCCAGGCTGCACCCTGCCACCTGACATTCCGTGGCCCGTGTCACCCAGACCGTATCTTCTGCCACGCTCAACGGAAAAAGGCCCTGCAAGCTATTTCCCCTCCTTCTGAGGGCCACCCCGCTCCCCCCTCCCCCTCTGTGCCGCCTCACCCCGCCCACACCCTGCGGGGTTGAAATTCTGCCCAGAAACCTACTGATTACGCAGCCAGTGCAGCCCATGGCCAGGAAGGGGCAGGAGGCAGCAACTTGACGTTGCTGCTGTGTGAGGCAAGAGGGCCAAGCCAAGTCAGGCAAGGTGTTCGCACACCTCAGGAGCCCACCCTGCATTTGCACGACCCTTTTTAATGGTGGGCTCACGGGTGGCTGGCTTAGTCCACTCAAAGACTAGCCCTGGGCCGCAGGGTGCCCCTCCCTCATGGCTCACCTTCTGCAGGACCTTGAATGGCAGCCCCTAATCAACTGCTATGGCGATGCCAGGCCAAGGGCCCCACCCAACACCTCAGGAAAGGCCATCACCCGGGCTGCTGTTGACTTAAGGGGCTCAGCCAGAGCCACGTCTGACCAAAGTCTAGGGCCCTGGCGCCTCACCTGCGTTTACAATCCCTTCCTCCCAAGGGCAGGGCCACACATTTTTGGATGGTTCAAGCTCAGGAATAGGGCACCAATCCCCTCCTCCCTCAGACGTAGGAGTCCCAGGGACCAAAGCCCATTGCCCTCAGGGTAGGAGTCCAGGCCCCCCCGCCCCCTCAGACTAGGAGTCCAGGCCCCCAGCCCCCTCCTCCCTCAGACCCAGGAGTCCCAGAGCCCAAAGTCCTATGCCCTCTGACTAGGAGTCTATCCCCTTAACCCCCTTTTCTCTCAGACCCAGGAGTCCAGCCCCAAGTCCCCACTTGTCTTAAGTCCCAGGAGTCCAGGTTCCCGCGCCCCCCTCCCAGGGTCCCAACTCACAAAACGCCCGAAGCGGATGGAGTCTCCATCATCAATGTGCAGATCGGCCTGGGCCCCACTATGGCGCGAGATGACAGACTGGCAGCCCGGGAGCAGGGACCGCAGCATCCCTGTCCCCGTAATGTGGTCCGCGTGGCAGTGTGTGTTCACTGCGAGAGAAGGGGGCCAGGAGAACTAAAGCCCAGTCCCCCTCCAGGGAATCTTGGGGGTGCAGGACTCCTTCCCTCCCACCAACCGATTCTGTGGCCCCGCCCCCCTCTGGGCAGTGGGGGATCCCTAGACTGACCAGCATATAGTAGTCGAAGCCCCAATTCCTTCACCAGCTGGGCATCCCGGTTGGCTGTGTCCACAACCGGGTCGATCAGGATGGCCTCTCGGGACTCCCTGTCACCCAGCAGGTAAGTGTAGGTGCAGCTCTTGGGCTCAAACAGCTGGGGGCAGGGAGAGGGACAATTAGAGCCCCGAGACAGAACCAGCCACTGGGAACCCAGGAGTCCAAACTTCCATTAAGATTCTTTTCTTAAGACCCCTTACTTAGTGCCCCCTGGAGTGAGGAGTCTGGGAGCAAGAGTCCTAACTTTCTAAGAAGCCCTGGTGGCGCTGCAGGTCAGGCAACTCGTGGCCAACTTCAAGGTCGGAGGTTCAAACCCACCAACTGCACCGCGGAAGAAAGACCAGGCTGTCCGCTCCCATAAAGAGTGGCCGTCTTGAAACGCCTGTCTGAGGTCACTATGAGTCAGTCAGGAGTCTGAGCCCTCAGTTCCTTCCTCCTTCCCTCAAGGCCAAGGGCTCCCAGCTCTCCAATCGGGGAGTCCCCAGCACCCTCTTCCCTAAAGGACCCCAGAAGTGGGCCCCCCAAGCGTCCCTCTCCCGCAAAGATCCAGGCAGGGGGGCCCTAGATGGCTCCCCTTTCAGGGGCCCAGGCGTGCGAGAACCCCAAGCCCCCACTTCCGTCAGGCCCAGGAACCCGCTCCCCGGCCCAGCCACCTCGTACCT